GGGGAGTAGATTATAGAAAGGGAAGGTATTAGCACCCTTACTATCCATGGTTATCCATGGGCTCTTAGTTACTTGCTTAGATCACTTGCCTTGGCTTTTCAATTGTTTGAAATGGTGCTTTTAATTGTTTGAAATGGTGCTTTGTGTGTGTGGTTTTGAAAATGTTTTGAAAAAGATGCCTTGTCTAGGCAACCCTTGTAACATTTCTTTACTCAAATGTTTTACAAAAGGTGTTTGTCTTTTTGAAAAGATGTTTCAAGGTTTTGAAAGTTGTTTTGAAAGTTGTATTGTGGAGTGTGTTTTGAAAATAGGCACGTGTGTTTTGCAAGTTTGATCAAGTAACTAAGAGTTGTCTACCCCTAAATTTACTCAAAGATTTTTTCTATGTTTTAACCCTTTTAACAGTATTGTTCCACCATTGTATTTGGTGGACAATATTGTGTTAGGATGTTAACGAGACGGGCATGGGTCATCGTTTAGACCATGAATGCAATAGTGCCAAGTGTCTTTGACAATTTTCTTGAGGGACTTGATCATTTTTGTTTAGGCAACTTGATAGCGTCATCGAGGGACTATGATCATTTGATTTGTTTTTGTTTTGCCAAAGAAACTCAACATGCAACATGGCCCATTTTTGAAGGCAACAAGTGGAGTAACCCTAAGGGTGCAAGTGTGCATTGTGTTGTCCATTTTCATGCTTTTTGTCTTTGAATTAGGTCAAGCTATTTGTTATTTTTGATTTGCATACAAACCCTAAGTCTATCATGGCATAATTTGAAAGCTTTTAAATGCGGAAATTTAAAGTCCTAAATTATTACAACATAATTATGGGGATGGGGGTACAAATATTTGAATGGGGGGATGTTTAGCAAGAAATTAAATCTAAAACTATTACATCCATATCGAATATACAAATTATTTAATTGTACAATAATTAAATAAATACAATAAAATGCAAAATGTATTATGCACAAAAATGGTTTTTTATGTATGAGAAAATATTTTTCAATGTGAAATATAAACAAAAATAAAAAAGTCAATTTTTGAATATTTTTATAGTTTAGGGCAAAACCCTAGTTTTCTAAATAAATAATATTTATTTATTAATTATATACAATATTTGTTAATTATATACAAAAAATAAAGAAAAAAGAAGTATATTGTAAAAAAGAGTATTTATTAGAAAATGTTTTCAAAATATAAAATAAAAATAATAACTGAAAATAAATATATTTTTGTATTATTTTATAGTGTTTTAAATAAAAGTATATATATTATTTTACATGTATAAGTTTAAATAAAACAAATAAATTCCAAATAAATGCAAAAATGCGTGGAAAAATATTTTTAATGTTTTTTATGTTTTGACAAAAAATATCAAGTCAGAAGAAAAAATAAAAAGTCAAAAATAATGGATATTTCACACAATGGGCCATGGGGGTGCAAAATGAGAAAAGGGGTGCAAAAAGCAAGACTGACTCAGGCCCAGCCCAAGTCCACCTTCTTCAACCTCCAGCAATGTTTGAACAACCAAAACGCGCGTTTTTCATGCTTCATTCAAACTCCTGATTCTTTGACTTTTAGCAAAAACTCATAACACAAACAATGTAGAGCATCAAGAGACGAATTCATACATATAAAAAACTTGACCTAACTCTAAGAAACGAGGGAGAATTTCTTCATCCCCAATTTCTGACCTAAGTTTTCTCCAATGTTCATGGCTAAAATTCTCACAGCATACTCAATATAAATGAAAAGTAAATATATGGATGGCTTCAGGGCTATGAGGAGAACATGTTTCATTCACAAACCTAAGCCTAACTCTTCCTATATTGAGAGATAGAAGTTCATGTTTTTACCTGTTTCAGCTTGAGTCGTGTACAGCAATGGAGGTATCTTCAATGGAGTTTGAGCTTTGGTACAGCTTGCCTGAAGTCCAAGGATGCTTCTCCTATGATTGGCTTACTCTGAAACTGCCTGTATCGTGCTATAGAAGTCCACCTGCACAGCTTGAAAGCAAAAATGGAAAACGATGTTAAGGATGTTACAGTTTGGATTTAATGCTTGGGATAGCTTCAATGGATGGTATGGAACATGTTTGAACTCTTTTTAGCCAAAATGCACGAATGGAAATGTTTGTGGAAGTCAAGTTGCAAAACTTGCTCTGTTTCTGCAGCAAGAGGATGTTTTTGTGTTTGAGGAGGTATTGGTGATGAAGGAATCGTGCTTTAGGTCAGTTAGGGAGTATGAAAGATGTTTGCAAAGTTTGCTTTGGCTGGTTCTTACAGGAATGAAAGATTGGAGTTGTTTTGCAATCTTGCTTGTTTTTGAAGTAAGGATAGTGTAAGTTCCAATACAGGCTTGTACCAACCTCTATATATGATGCATCTCTTCTTCTTGATCAGAGGGATTTGTGTACAAATGCTAGCTTCAAAGATTTGGCCCATGCCTCTTGGATTTGTTATTTGACATAAAGTGCATCTTTTCCAAAATGGCAAACTTACTTTTTCCATTTAAAGATTAATGTTGCATGTAATGATCAAATGAACAAAATAACACCTTAGCACAATGGTTAGGCATTTAATTGTGGTGTGTGAGAATGGTTTGGAGGCCTGCAAGCTAGCTTGTATAAGCTGATTTGAAAAATGCCAATGTATGAACATGTATTTGGTTATGAACAAAAATGGATTTTGCCCAACTTTGCAAATTCGATTCTCCCTAACCACAAGGGTGTTTGAGAAGTTCTTTGACAATTTTGAAAGCTTGGAATGTGTACTACAATCCATATTAGTAATGCAAATTGAAATTCAAAGTGGAAGCATGTGAAAAATGGCCATGAAGTTGGACAAAAATCCTGCCTAGAATAGGTCAAAATTTCTCTAAGTTAAGAATGTTTTGCACCCTTGTTCCAAAAATCATAACTTGAGCTACAAGCTTCCTTTGAGAAAACTTTGTGAATCAAAGTTATAGATTTTGCAATAGACTACAACTTTCATGTTTTGAGTTTTGTTTGAATCCATTTGCATCTTGGTGAAAAAATGGGACAAAGTTAGGAAAAAATAAGGAAATTTTATAACTTAGAAAATTTCTAAGTTATGAAATTTCTTCATTTTAAACCCTAATTTGCAATTTTGGGTTTCTTGATGAACAAGTTTCATAATTTGACATGTCTTGATGAAAAATGAATCTTGGCACTTGATTTTGACCAAAAAGTCAAAGTTTGACTTTTCAGTATACAGTCAAATTTTGATAAGTTGACTAGAAAATTCATTTGTCAATCCTGTGCATTTGAACTTTTTGAATGTGTCAAGACAATGCCATTGAGTCCTTGAGTCCATATGTGAGCTTGGTTTGCCATTGGTTAGGTCAAACAGTCAAAAATTGCCTTTGTGCAGTCAAAACCCTAAAAATGACCATTTTGCCCTTTTGGTGATCTGATCAAATTTCTTGTGGAATTGTGATCCAAACTTGACCAAATGGTTCATATGAGTTCATTATGTTGATGTGGGTAAAAAATTATGAAGTTTGACTTTCAATTGGCCACAGTTGACTTTTTCCCTAATAAAGCTGATTTCTAGGTCAACTGTCCAATTGACTGGGCAAAGACTGGAATCAAGGCTTGAAACTTGGTATGGATAAACTTGTAGGTCCAACATGAAGCATTAAAGTTACTTTGGGCATTTTAGGTCAAAACATCTTTGTGCAAACTCAAACCCTAATTTGGGTCAACAATGCAAGGAGGAGTCTTGAGCAGAGCAAACTCTAACTTGATCTTGAGCTCCAAAAGTCTTGTGGTGAGAAAATGTAGATGAAATGAGAGGGAAAATTTTGGGGTACAACATTGGGCATTAGGAACCCAATCCTCCTTTTGGAATGACCCTTAGTTATGTTCCATTTCCCTTAAGATTAAGTTCTCCGATCTCTTCTCTAATTCAATTCATCCATATTGGTTTGTGGGAGAGATCCAGGTAGAGGAGAAGAGTATTTTTTTAAAGTCTGGAAATATTTTCTAAGTAGAGTAAAGGTGAACTCTTACATTTTCTGTCTTCCTTCAGAATCCTATCCTCTGCCTACACCAATAAAGAATCGAGTGTTTGTCTTAGTTCAAAGGATAATAACAGTTGGTGGTTTTGGTGCACTTTTGATGTGTCAGATCTGTTGATAGTGAAACCGATAGTATGAAATCTAGCCTAATTTTATTGTTGTTGTTTTTATCAAAATTGATGTTTTATCAGCGGACCCCATGCACGGTGGTGCTGATTTGTTTTTTTTTTTGTTTTTTTTATTTGTTGTTGTTTATATTGTATGTATCTTAGATAAAAAAAAAATTTGTATATCTTATACTTTATAAGTACTTTGATTTGAAATTTCAAGGTTTTTCTCCTTTTAAAATGTATTAGTTTGTCATTAAAAAAATATGGAATAAAATAAATCAATGTTTGTAAAGATAAACACAACATAAAACATTGAACAATGCTTAAGCATCTCTAATGCTTTGTCTCACGTATCTATGACTTATTTCCTCACCTTTTCTTATCAATTTTAATCATTTTTTTTTTCATTTCCGAGGCACTAGAACTGAGTCACTTGACGATTGAATTGAACCTATGGTGTTACTCTTAGAAGCATAGTTTATAAGAGATACGTGTTCTTCTTTGAAATCCACTTGTCAAATTCTACCCAAATGTTTTCTCATACCAATCACATGGTGTGTTCCATGCCATCAATATCTATATATTAAATAATAGGATTGCTATTTACATTGTGGTTAAAATTGCTTCTATAATTGTACATAGGTTTAAAAATATAGACACAACTTTGGATGGTGTGAAGCGGTTGTGGAAGAAAAAATGGCTAAAAATACTAATGAAAAAGAGAGAGAAACGCTATTGATATTCCTTATATTTAGCATTTTCTTGTGTATATATACGTAGATGCTCACTTAGTGAAACATCACCATCATTGAAAGTTAGAACATTTTATTCTCAGAAATTAAAAATATGAAAAGCGTATTCATTATTTTGCTTATTCTTTCCATTCATTTTGGTATGAGTTATGATCCTTGTATTTAGTTTTTGTGAAATCTCACAAGTTTATGTTTCTTTAATTAATTAAATTTGTACTTTTTTTTTTCTCTACAGGAAATCAAGTGGAAATGTTAGAGGCAAGAGAATGTAACAAAGTTGTAGCTGGTTTATGTCGCAAGTCTGGAAGGAGAATTCAATGCAAAATCCAATGCAAGGCATTATGTGGAACATTTTCTGCACGTGGTGAATGTGGAATAGACAAAGATTGCCATTGTAGTTGTTGTTAAATTAACTGGTTATATAATGGTGATAATATAATAAAGTCTCATGATATAATAGAGACAAGATTTAATGTAAAGTATATATGATAGATATATGGTGCCATACACATGATAATTATATATTATCATGTGC